ATTACACTGGCTGAAATAGATCAATTCCAGGAATTTAGTAGCTTCGATTCCAATACTAATTTTTAATCTTTTAAATAATCAGCTTAGAATTGTATTCATTCAATAACGATAGAAATCAAATTTTAAATATCGGATAGCGTAACCAAATCATTTCTAAGTAGTCAGCAGTGATTTCAGTGAATTTCAGACAAGAAAGAAAACTTTTCAACTACAAACTAGGGGACAAGAATTTCAAGTATTGGATAGCCTAGAATAAGATGTTGCTTTGCAGATATTCAATTTAATATTACTTAATGTGCCCTTTCCAATTTCTCCCTGAATAAAAATCGAAGCGGTCGGGTAGAAGAGTCGCCTGAGAAAATTTCTTAGATGTCGATTAGTATGCATGATAGTGAAAGATTGTTCAGTCAAATATGGCAATGATTGCCTTTTCGCTATCACTAATGAATCAGTACATTATCCAATTCAATAAAATAAAATGCAGCACACGATCATTACTATATACTGAACATTTCAACTTGATGAACTACCGTCATCATTCCGTTAATAAAGTATTCGTTTTCGTTGAATATATTACAATGAGATAATTAAACTGATCTATTCTAAAATTTATTTCTCTTCAGTTAATGATGCGTGACATTACTGGAATGTTAATGGCTATTTGATGCCAAATAGAAATTTTCACAAGAATTGAATACTGATGCATTATTCGGCTTCGTAATTGGTGTAAAGGAACGAAAGCAACAATCTTACTCCTACGCTCTCTGTTAATTAACATGCTGGTATAGAAAGACCTATTTTTCATTTTTATTTGACTAGTCTTTTACCTATGTAAGCAACAACCTTCATCCTATTATCAATCTACAAATCTATTTTATCATTGATGGTATACAAAGTAGACATAAGAAAAATTGATCGACAAATTGTTTCCTTTAAGTCAAGCATAAATGTCTCTTAAATAAAGTTTTAGTCTAGAAATATCTCAATCTTTTTCCCTTGTTAACGTTAGCTTCAATAATAGCCTATTCACAATTTACGTTTCCAAACTTACTAACTTGATCAGTTAATTAAATAGGAATGAGCTCTTCACCTATTTGCAATGAAAACAAGGGAAAACAGCACAGCTGTTTCTTAATTTAAACGGTAACGCTAGAGATATCCCAGACATCCACCGAAGTTAAAGATATTTTCGATTTTAATACTATAAGTGTTATTATGTTCTCGTAATTTATATTTTTTTATCCATTAAATCGATCGATTGATTCTATTGGAAGAACTTATTTATAAGAAAAGAATAATTCAAAATTCGGACTTTAGAATTAAAAGTCTATACTACTCAGAGATGGATGTAGTAGAGTAAAAACATACCACATCCATCATTAAGATAAAATGGATATTGACCTAGATAGGGGTCTTGAATCTGTCTCTGCAAATAGAGTTATATCAATGCCTTACCCTTATACAGTTATCATTATTGGGCAGGTGTGCTTATACTGATAGCAAGTCTTAAATGATTTTTTAATTTGCTTTGCATTAATGATGATACGTGTATTGATATTATTCATTGGGTAAACCGGTTTATCATGAACGAATAATCTTGGTCTACGAAAACGATTACTAAGCGGAATCTGAAAATAAAGAGCAAATTAAATCAACATTATCGCAATTTTAAGCTAATTTTTACGACTAGATTACTGTATTAGTTAATGATCTTGCCTAATTCTTGAAAGGAGCAAAATATTTATTTGAACACGTTAAAATAGTTGAAATGTATTTAGCTGCAATACCTGCTAAGATGGAAGAATTCAAGTTTCCTCTTAACTTAGAATGAAAAGTAACATGGCTATTGCTTCTAGCAGTATATCTTTAAGCTGGAAATGAGTTAGTACCAATTAATTCAAAAAGAAAACCACTATTTAATCCGTTTCATAGTATTGGTCTTTTCATTAGCTATTCTATGCTTATTAAAGACGTAAGATTGAGTAGAAATGAATGCTGATTCGCTGTCTGAAGTAATATGAATTATAGTCTTCTATGTAAGTTAAGCCAGCACTATCACAATTTATAGCTAATCTCTACAACTAGATTACTGCATTCATGATCTTGCCTAAATCGTCAAGGAAACAAACATTTATTTTAATGCGTTAAAATTCCTGGGCCGTATTTAGTCTGCGTTGCCGGGCTAAGAAGAAATAATCATTTTTTTTCTCTTTACTTAGAAAGGATAATGACGTCGCTGTTGCTTCTAATAGCCCATCTTTGAACTGAGAATGGGTTAGTAACAACTATTCAAGAGAGAAAACGGATATTTGATATGTTTCGTAGCATTGATCTCTTGGTAAACATTTATATGCTTATGTAACACGCTGGATCAAGTGAAAAACGAATACAATTCGCTGTCTAAAAGTAATATGGCTTGTGGCCTGCTGATGTACATATGAGAAGCATGACAACAACAATTTTCATAGTAATGAAAATCATGTAGCAAGAGGAAATAGAGTTTCCTAATAACAGTACTTTAGAACCAGAAGGAAATACTTCACTAGATAAAATGGAACCGTAGTTCATTCTCATCTTTTCCAGCAAATCAAAACGTTATTGACCTTTCTTAAGCATTACTCATATCTCATATATAGTCGGTTAGAAAGAATAGGCAAGATTATATGGCAAGTAGGCCTTCTCTTAAGGTAACAGTGTCAAGATAATCTGTATGAGAACTGAAGTAGAATACGAAATGTCAGTTTTAATCCTAGGTGG